TCCCTTGGCACCAACACGAGCCTTCAAGTAAGCCTGACGCCACTTCGGTATGCCCATGCTCCAGGGCAGCGTGCATCTGTGTTTATATGAACACTTGCCTCATTTGCGGCAGTTCAGACGTCCACTTTTATCCGTCTCGTGTCATGTTGTGGCACACCCGAGTGGCCGACAACTTTGTGCTCGGCCACTACAGCCTCGTCAGTCTCTCTCTCTCTCTCTCTCTATTTCTTGGTTTCAATTTCTATTTTAACGTTTGAGGGCCGTTTTGATGTGTTTCCTATTAGTGCTCCCTTCACTTTTGTCCAATGACATTTGAGGAGAGCCGTTTGAGTTGGACCCGTTCTCTGACTTAATCCCCTCGGATCTAAGTATTTGGTTTTCAGACGGCGCCATTTCGCCGGATGGTGATCGTCTTTTAGATAAATCTGTGATTTATTCGGCATTTTATCTTGACCGAATTTCTTATTCTCCCAACAATAGATCTGACAGGTCACAACTGGCACCTTTTAATGTTATCCCGAGTACTCACTACTCACTACTGAGTACTGAGCGACTTGATACCTTCTTCACTGCTTCGTTTATTGTGAACCTCCTGTCCGCCATTCATTTCGTCTTTCACTCCTCCCTTAATATGCTGGTTTTGTGAGTGCTCTATTTAAACTCTTGGTGGCTTCGGACTTTTTTAGCTGGTATTGGCATCCGGCATTTTGAGATGTCCGATGTCGCATTCTGCCGTGCAATCTATCTTGTTATTCGTACCATCTTCATTCCTCTTATTTGTGTAAATTTCCTATTTAATTTGCAATCACCTCATGTAAATTTCTCTTGTATAGAAGAATTGGCCTCCCTTTCTATATAATTAAATCTGACAAAAAGAGAACTATTTTACTGCTTTGTGTGAAACTCGGCCTGAAGGAAGTTTTAGCCTGTTAGTCAACCTATGATTTTATATGTCTACTTACTCTATTTCTGATGCAACCTGTCTGTGCGCCTCCCTCAGCCATGGCGACGCTCTGGGCCCACCAGATTCGAATGAGCCCCTGCACGAATTGATCGGATTCTCTTGCCAACTGGGAGTATCACCTGTGGCGGCCTGTGGCGGTTCATTCTTCCACACTACTACGGGCTTTTAAACTGTGTACATATTTCTTTCCACAATGATTTATGCCAACACGCACACACACACACACACGCGCACGCACGCAAGCTCATACGCATACAGGCACCCACTACTCACAGACACGTGCAAATACATGTGTGCATGCATGCATGCATATACTTTCTACACAATCGGCGTTGATAACTTGATTCTCCTCACTGGCCTGCCTGTACAAATGCAGCTGTCTTCTGGCTCAGTTTGAAATCCCTCCTATTCTTCTTCTGGAACATTCTCACTCATAAACCCTTAGCACTTGGTGAAGCAACTCGTTGAGTTGACTAATATACGAATGTTTTGTTGTGCAGGTCCACTTTTGCTCTTGTCGCTGCGAGCCCGTTTCTCGGCTCGTCCACGTTCCATTTGCGTGCTGTCTGGCTAATGCTTGCTCGGCCGGTAATCCGCCAAGCCGTGTTGCTGTCGCCTTACGGTGAGTTGGTTTCTCGTCTCGGCCTCTGGTGCCAGCGGGCTTAGTCGCTTAGTTGCTCACCCGGTTGCCAGCCTCCAGTCGCCGGTTGCCGGTTGCCAGTTGCCGGTTGCCAATTGTCAGTCGACCGGTTCAGTCAATGACGGCGCCACATGACAAA